GCCATAATCTCTGATTACAAAAATCAAAAAAAATTAAAACACAAATTAATTTTCTAGTTACTAAAACTAGAAAATAAATTATAACAACAAAATAATTTTATTTTCCTTCTTACTAAAACTAGAAAATAAAATATCACAATAATGTTCTGTAACACAAATTAATATTCTGCAATTGTTAATGACACCAGTATATTACTACTATTTGTCAAAGAAAAGAGACGGTATATTACTACTATCTGTCAAATAGCATAAATCACTATTTGTTTTTCTAACCAGAATATTAGTTTAAAAACACAGAAAATTAAATACAATGAAGATACCAAAAAGGAATCTGTCTTAAGATTGTTGGACAATCTTCACTGTATTTAAATAGATTAAATTCTGTTGTGTACAAAACAACAACAAGAATAAAAGAAATAAAGAAAATGAGAGAATTTGTTTGATTACAAAAATCAAACTCGAAATAAAAATAAATAAATAAAAACAGATTTTATTTTGTTACAAAAACAAAATTTAAATCTGATTTTAATAAATAAAAACAACACTGAAAATAAATTAAATAACTTACTTGATTTAATTTGTTCGAATTATTTTCTGATCAAGTCCAGTGTTTGACACTGTGTCCTTAAGACAGTTTCGTCCTCTCTATGGTGCTTTCAGAATTTGAACGTCTATCTCCCAGGATAAAATGATCTACCACAAACAATAGTAGCACTACAAATTGTTTGCCTTACGAACACACTAAGTATTTAGACTCTTTCTTTCAGAAATAAAATACAACAAAATGAAGAATAGAATAAGCAGAGGTGAAATACGAAATTTCTTAATTTCAAACATCAAATGAGGGTGGTTCTATTTATAGATGTAAAGGTGACTCTTGGTTTTAAATTGAACAGGTATGATACCTGTTGTAGGGGTGAGCATGGTCCGGATTGGACCGGATTGGTGTAAAACCAGGACCAATCCGTTATTTACGGTTCCTGAAAAATTAGAACCAATCCAATCCGTTTAAATCATGGAACCAATCCGAACCAATCCATTTAAATACGGATTGGATCGGTTTAGGACCACGGATTCACATAATTAAATAATAAAAATATATATATATAACACTTTAATTTCATAAAAACATAAACATAGCACTATATTAGTTCCACAATAGCAATATGTCTTTATAATAGCGACATATTGTTCTAGAATTTAAACAACCATAAGAAAATTAGTTTCACCATAAGTATTTAGAGCATTACAAGTTAAAACTAAAAACTAACAAACAAAAGTAATAAAAGAAGATATTAAACGAGTTTAGGTTTGAGTTTAGGTTTTATATGGAATAAGTGAAGATACTATGGGTAAGGATGTATAATAAAAATATAGACTATTTGTATACGGTCCGGATCGGTTCCAATCCGAAACCGTGGGGTTCAATCCGGAACCAATCCGTGGACTACGGATTTTTAATTCTTCAATCCGGAACCGAACCACGGATTCAAAAAACCAATCCAAACCTATCGGATTGGACTGGACTGGATCGGATTACGGATTTCACGGATTCCTTGCTCAGCCCTAACCTGTTGGTTTTGAATTCAAACAGATTTGAATCTGTTAACAATTCAAACAGATAGCAAAAACGGGAAGGGCCCTGTTTGGGTGTGCACTAATTCCAAACTAGTTTATTTCTGTTTGAAAACGGGAAGGAGAACTCGGGCAAGTGATTTCATCATATGTTTTAAGTCAAAGATTATGAGTTTAAGTCTTACATGGCAATGTTATTTTAATTTAATTTATTTTTTTAATTATAAGGATGTTGATTCTTACTCTAGTTCATTTCTAAGATAGTATTTGGTTCACTGGAATAAAACGGAATGGAATGATCATTTTGTCAAAATATTTAGAGGAATAAAGAACAGAAACAACACCATGCAAATCAAAAGGCAAGTAAAATTATGAGATAATAAACTTAAATTTTAAATACTAGTACATTAAACTTCAATGGTTCATCCAAAATTTGGTAATTTCCGAATCCAGATCAAAGCCTGGCCAATTTCTTGGAAACCCGAGTCAAAGCAAAGCTTGTATTAAAGTATACACAAGTAGGAGGTATTTACTAAAATAATATTGTCGTTGCTATAATTTAGCAATAGATAGTATTATTTTGTCAAATTATAGTAATGGTGTTCTAATAGTTACATGCTATTTTGACAAATTTCAACTAATTTTCCCTCCAAAATTGTTTGTGTTGTTTCGATATAGAACTTTTAGTGATTTTTTTTGTTTATTTTTTTCTTTTGTGATCCTTTTTCAACCGTTTGTAAAAAAAATTATATATTTACATTATACTCAACTAGATAAATATAAAAAATTAAAAATAAATTAAAAAAATTTCAAAAAAAATATTAAATATAATTCACTCCAACCAGAAAAGAGCATCGATGGATTGTTTCCAGATTGATCCTTATTTCTATCTCTCTTATCTTTATCACTGTGTCTCTCGTTGATTCCATAACCACCACCCCCTACTCTGCTCTCTCTCTACCCATCTTTATCTCTCTTCCTCACCCTCACGCTCATCGATTACAGCTCTCCGATCTCCAACCCTCTTCTCCACCACAACCCCCTTTCACTTTCTTCCTCTTTGAAACCCTAACCCTAACAATCGAACTCCTCCGTTCGAAACCCTAACGATCATCACTGTCAGAGAGGGATCTCCAACGATCGAAACCCTAATGAATAACACGAAGAAGATCATCCGAAGAACACGAAGAAGATCAACCCTACAAAATGTCAGGTATTTTTTTTTTACTTCACTGTGTTTATTTTCTAATTTTTAATTTTTTTTTTGCTCGAAATTGCTGAAATTGAAATTTTGCTAGCTTGCTTCTGTTTGAAATTGTTCAATTTTTCTTGCATGCTTGAAATTGATTCTGTTTGAAATTTTGCTTGCTTGCTTGAAATTGTTCAATTTTGTTATTTTTTCTCCAGAAATTCTGCTTCTGTTTTTATTTTTTTGTGATTTTTGGGTGAAAATTGCTTCTGTGTTTGGAAAGGATGATGAGAAAGGTAGGGAGGGAGGGAGGGAGGAAACGGTTAGTTGAAGCTGACTTGGCAGCTTTGGCATAGCAGCTGCTAAAACTTACCATTGGAGGTGGCTTTTTATGAACCGCTGCCATAATTTGGCAATAGCTGCCATTGGAGATGTGTAATAAGTGATACTACTAGTAGCACACAAAAGTTGACATCGTGAGTCAATTTTTTTAGCTGGATGAGGTCCAGACTGTACACCCAAAAGTTAGAGTCTTTGTAGGGGACAAAATCCCTTGATTATGATTTTTTTCCCATTGATTTATACCTAAAGAAAACAATGGTTGACTAAACAAAAATAGCTAAATGAGCTCTCTCTTTCCTTTTTCCATACACCCATTCGTCTATGTTGTGACCTTTTTTTTCTTTTTTTCAAGCAATTATTGGATACTTGGAGAATGTTGTCATGTGATACTTTACTTGGACATGATTAGTTTACACAATGGGACTCACCGGCAATGTTAGGCACCTAAAAATTTATCCCAAAAAATACTGGATGGTTGAGATTCATTTCAAGTTTTTTTTTTGGATAAATAAACAAATTTTATTAAACAAGTATCACAACGATGCAAAGAATATAAGGAAAAAAGCATCCCAGGTTGGGCTACAAAAACACACTAGCTAAGCAAATCCTTCACAAAATGTACAAAAGTCAGCACATCAGGATCAACCGCACCTGTAATCCAACTATGCAATAACAAAAAAAGCCTACTTTCTAACCAAAGAAAGGACTGAGAGATGTTCTGAAACACACGCCTATTCCACTCCAACCAAACCAACCACAAGCAGCAATGGAAAGCAAGTAACCAAGCCTTCCACCGCCGCTTGCCCATCCTCGCCCTGCCCTAACTAAGCAAGACTTCCAACACCGATCTCGGTTGCACCCAAACCAAACCAAACCAAAAAGAGCAACCACCCTACACCAGAGCCGTGACACCATCGGACACTGCACAAGCAAATGATCAACCGTTTCCGCATCCGTACAACACAAACAACACCAATTTACCAACATATGCCTCCGCCGTATCAAATTATCAATAGTAAGAATACGGCACAAAGCAGCTGTCCAAACAAAAAAAACGACCTTAGAAGGAGAACCTGATGCCCAAATACATTTTCAAGGAAACACACCACCAACACCCCATAAAAGGAGGGCACCAAGGACAGTCCATTCCATAGAATCCATCCCACCCCCCCCAACTCCTCAACCCATACAAAAAACCTAGTAGACCCACTAATTGGTCTAGCTCCCAATCTTGAACACCACGACGAAAACGAACATTCCAAACAACAAAATGACCTTGCATCCCCCTAACCGAAGCAACCAACTCCACCCCATCCACGTCAATAGTGTAAATCAAAGGGAACATGGTCGCCACAGACAAGCCATCACACCACCGATCTTGCCAAAAGCGAACTCGGTCACCCACCTCCACTTTAAACCGAACCTGCTCCCAAAAAACCTCCCTCCCCAACCAAATCCCCTTCCATAAACCACGACCATGAGGGCGAACCACCCTCTTCGAACTCCAACCCCCCCTCCTCACCGTATTTAGCCACCACCACCTGCCTCCATGACCTCTCCCATTCCCCCACAAAACGCCACAACCACTTACCCAATAAAGCCCGATTAAACACCACCAGTTTTCACACACCCAAGCCCCCCTCTCATTCAAAGAACAAACCCTCTCCCAAGCCACCAAATGATAATGAAAACCCTTCCCACCGCTGCTCCACCAAAAATCCCGTTGCAGCTTCTCCAACCTCTGTGCCACCCCCACAGGAATGACAAGCGCAGACATAAAGTAAGTCGGAATGCTGGAAAGAACACTCTTGATCAAAGTAAGCCGCCCCCCTTTTGATAAATATTAGCACTTCTACCCTGCCAACCGCCGCTGAACTCTGTCCACTACCCTATCTCACACTCGAGTCTCCTTAAAAGAAGCCTCCAAGGGAAGACCCAAATAAGAAACTGGCAACCGTGCCACCTTACAACCTAAGACAACAGCCATCACTGATAAACGATCAACCTCCCCTACTGGAATCAATTCTGATTTTGCCAGATTAACCTGCAGCCCTAACACAACCTCAGCCTCAAAACACAACAAAACACATCGCAAGTTGCCAATCTTAGTAGCCTTCGCATCACAAAAAATCAACACATCATCAGCATAGAAAAGATGAGAAACCACCAAAGATGCGGACCCCTCTCCCACCTTAAAACCTGAAAATAAACCCCCTTGGGCTGCCCTGGATAACAAACAACTCAAAGCCTCCATGACCAAAATAAACAATAATGGAGACAATGGATCGCCCTGCCATAAACCTCGCTAAGTAGGAAAAAAACCCGTTGGAGTCCCATTAACCAACACGGACAGCCGAACAGTGGAGATACAAAAATACATCCATCTGTGCCAACGTTTCCTAAAACTCATCCTCTCCATCATATCTAACAAAAACTTCCAATTGACATTATCATAGGCCTTCTTAATATCTAACTTACATATAAGCCCCCCTTTCCCTTGTCGAAGCTACGAGGATGCGGACCCCTCTCCCACCTTAAAACCTGAAAATAAACCCCCTTGGGCTGCCCTGGATAACAAACAACTCAAAGCCTCCATGACCAAAATAAACAATAATGGAGACAATGGATCGCCCTGCCATAAACCTCGCTAAGTAGGAAAAAAACCCGTTGGAGTCCCATTAACCAACACGGACAGCCGAACAGTGGAGATACAAAAATACATCCATCTGTGCCAATGTTTCCTAAAACTCATCCTCTCCATCATGTCTAACAAAAACTTCCAATTGACATTATCATAGGCCTTCTTAATATCTAACTTACATATAAGCCCCCCTTTCCCTTGTCGAAGCTGCGAGTCCACGTACTTATTAGCTACCAAAACAGCATCCAAAATCTGACGCCCACCCACAAAAGCGTTCTGAGACTCTGACACCACCCCCTCTAGCACCCCCAAAGCCTATTAGCCAAAACCTTGGCCAATAGTTTGTAAACACTACCCAAAAGACTAATCGGCCGAAAATCTTGGATATCATTTGCCCTCCCTTCTTAGGAATCAAAGCTATAAAAGTTACATTTAGACTTCTCTTAAATTGCCCAATTTGATGAAACTGCGTAAACACATCCAACACCTCCCCTTTCACCACCCCCTAGCAGTGTTGAAAGAAAGTAATTGAGAAACCATCCGGGCTCGGTGCCTTATCCCCAGGCATACTCTGCAATGCACCCAAGACCTCCTCCTCAGTAAAAGGCCTTTCTAATAATTGTTCATCCTCCTTAGAAATAGAATCAAAAACCACACCATCCAACCCCGGATGCCACATCAGTCCCTCATCACGGAACAGATACTGATAGCATGACAGTATACCATCCGTAACCTCCTCTTCTGACGAAAGCATCACCCCATTTACCCGCATATTTCCTATCTGGTTCACCCGCCGATGGGCATTTGCCGTTCGATGAAAGAACTTTGTATTACGATCCCCATCTTTCAACAAGCATCTGGATTTTTGCTGGAAACTAATCTCCTCCATCCGTGCAATCCTCGCAAAATCTCTGTGAGCCACATCCTTACTTACCACATCCTCCTCCGAAAAGGCCCCCTTTATTTCCTTGTCATCCAAACCCTGTAAAACTAACAAGATATTGGTCTTCTGAACCCCCAGACGGCCAAAAACCTCAATATTCCATCTCTTCGTATCAGACTTAAGAAGTTTTAATTTCTGGACTATGTAGCTAGGTGAACCTGGCACATTGTAACTCCTCCACCACCCACCCACCCTCCTCTCAACAAAGCCATCTGCTTGCAACCACATGTTCTCAAACTGAAAAGGCAAAGGACCACTCCGAACTCCTCCGCTGTCCAACAAGACCGGCCAATGATCAAAAGTCGGACATTGCATCCTGCACTGAAGCAATTGAGAAAAATGCTCCTCCCAATCTCCAGAAACCAAAAATCTATCAAGCCCAGAACTCGCTCGGCCACCCGACCAAGTAAAACCTCCCCGTTGTAATGACAAATCTACCAGCTCCATCTCATCAATAAAAGAAGCAAAATCCCTTATAGATTGCCCCAACTGACTCCCCCCAGTCTTTTCCACTGGACTTCTTACAACATTGAAATCACCCCCAACACACCAAGGCAAGCCCTATCTAAAAGCAACATGCTGTAATTCCTCCCAAAAGGCTCCCCTTTATGACCCCTGAACCGGACCATAAATCCCAGTAAACACCCATCGAAAATCATCCTCAAGGCATCTGAACAAACAAGATAGAGAAAAAACCCCCCTGCTTCTTCCTCTCCTTCATGACCACTCTACTGTCCCAACATATGAGAATACCTCCCGCCACCCCTAAAGATGGTTGGAAGGCCCATTCCATATGCCTCCCACCCCATAACTCCTGCACAAACTCCAACCCAACAACCTCTATTTTGGTCTCTTGGAGACACACCACATCCGCCCTAACACTCTTCAATAAGGACTTCACCACCGGTCGTTTGCACCGATCATGTAAACCCTGCACATTCCAAGTCAAAATTTTCAGATGCATGGCAACAAAAGGGAACCACCCCGCTCCTTCCTTATCCGATAACCCGCTCCGCTTGTGTTTCGATCATAATTGATTAAATAGTCTAGTCTCCGTAACTCCTTACCCCCTTTATCTTTCTGACTAGCAAACTGCACTTCCCGACCACCCGTGCCTCCTCTAGTCTATGAAGCTTCAATAGCGGAAAATAGTTTTAGAGTTTCATCCTCATGACCCGCAAAGGATACTCCCCAAAATTTACTAACCTCAGATATGCGATCCAACACCCAGTCTGACATTTCAGCTGAAGATGGTATTTGGTCCATACAAAAATCGGCACCCATCTCCAACTCAGATGCTAGCTCCAGAGATGGCAACCCAGAGGCCCCATCTGCTATCACCTCCGGTCGTACCACCAAAGCCAATTCATTACCCATAGTCTCCCATCGCATCGCCATCAGTACCTTAGGCCTCGCCTCCTCCCCTGAAATAGGCAACTCGTCCCCAGCAATATCCCCACCTAACAATGTACTGATCGAATCATGCCCCACTGCCTCCATAGCCGTATTTACCAAACCACCCGACAACAGGTCCTCCGCCACTAACTGGTCTAGGGGAGACTGGGGCGTTAACGACGGCGCGTGCGCTACCCCCCTTATCGAGCTTGTCAGCCATCTGTTCGTTGGATGGAAGCTGTACTACCCTATCCTTCATCGCCAACTGCACACCAACGAGATTCCTAGTAGGCAAACGATGCTCCTTCAGCGACGATCGAGATACCATACCTCCACCTAGAAGACCACCAGTGCCGTTGATTTTCCATTGCGATCCAACACCATCACGCAAGGATCCAAAAACTTGAGCAATCGACGAGTTAGAACAAGGTCCTAGATTCAACTGTGGGCTGGATAGGCCGTTGACTTTAGTTGCTGGGCCTAGAGTGCTTGGGCCCTTGCTTTGCGGCCCACGAAGAAACCTGGCCTCCACAGGAGTGATTTGGCCCATTCCCCCACTACTGTCCACCTTGTTTTGATTTGGGCCCAAATGTAACTCACCCAAAACCCACTCCCCCTGCCCAAATAGCTTCGGTCTACCCTGATTCCCATACCCTACCAAATAACCCCCCAAATCTGCCATCAACTGCACCAAATCCTCCATTCCCCAGATTGCGCCATTCATCATGCCTTCCCCACCGACTTTCCTTTCCCATTCGAAGTCTAGCTCGAACCTCCACCGTCAGCGACACTGCGTCAAACGTTGACCCAACTTCCGGCCACAAAGGAACCATAGACTACCAAGCTTCCCAACAGAGCACTATCTTGGTTGGAATGTTTCCCTAACGCCGAACTCGCAGTCGTACCACTCGGAGATCCGCCGAAAGCTTATTGACCTCGATAAAACCCTCACACTGGTCACCGATGGCCCTATAAGTTTCCAACCCACGAAGATGAATTGGTAGACACACCACCATCACCCACACTGACATTCCCATCAACACCGACTTCCTCTTGTCACACAGGATTGTCAGTGACCACCATCGTAGATTCAGGTCTCGATCATCGACGACCCACCGACGCCGCACAATATTCTCGGTCGCCTGCTGTGAGGGGAATACAAAGAGAAAATCTTGACCCCCAACTGGTCAGATCTCCACCTTCCTCGAAGAACTCCACCATCGACCAACCCACTCTGTCATAATGAAAAACCCATTTCCCTTAGCCCTCACCACACCTACTTTCCCCACCAAAGCCCTATTCAGCAAACCAATCCACCCCTTCTCCGCCACAGCAAGAATCGGACCCAGATCAGCCACACTTGGCACCACCGTCCTTTTCACCACTAGTGACCCCGCCACTTGGCCAGCCTTCGCAACCCAATTCTCTCCTCGGGCGAAGCCCTCAATAACCAATGCCACACCTTGCCAACCATCCCCAAACTCCGATACGGGGATAAAGACCTATTGCCTTCTACCATCATTCGTAACCAGAATCTGAAACAATGTCCCGCTATCCTCCTCACCACGAATCCAAATCGCCGAACTCCACCGCTTGCCGTCCAAATGACCCAAGAAAGATTGGGTCCATATATTGTCGAAAGCCAACTGCAATTTGGTAACGACCCAACCCACTTCGTAGCCAACCAAAATCACATCTCGCCATAGGCCGGAACCACGCTCCACAACACCCAACCTCCGATCCCCCCTCTGATCCACTGTCTCCTCCTGGAACTTGAAGGATCGACCACCAAGGAAAAGGACCCGACACCGTGGACCAGTCTCCTTCCCCACCGGAAACATCCCAGGTAAGCCTAACACATTATAGAATTAAATCTAGCAACACATTATTTTTTGGGTAAATTTGTGGACAAATTTTATAGTTTCTTAACTTCTATTGCCTAACAAGGGGGGTTTCTTAACTTTTATTGCCTAACAAGAGGGGAATCACAATTGACAATTAAATTTTGGTATGGGATAAACTTTATTGCTTGCATTCATCTTCTTCTTGCTGATCTGGAAAGATCTTATAGATCAGTTGACCAAGCTCAAATTGCAACCAATAGGGGTAGAATTTTAAAAACCCATATCGTAATTCTCAAAGAAATGGTACCCTCCATTTTTAGTTTTTTTTTTTTAAATTAAAAAATTCAATTATTTATTGCACTTTATATCTATACATACCTCTCATTGCACTTCAAGCTCTTCAGCTCCCTTCTTAGCTTACATTGAAAAATCAACAATGACATCCTTAGCAATGTCTCCTTCCAAACAGTTCCTTTCTTTTCCAGTCTGGTTTATCTTTCTCATCATCCTTGTGCTGGTCTCTTCTTCCCATTTTGCTGTTTTTGCTTCTTCTCCAACTCCAAAAACAGAAGTAGTGGCTTTTTTAACGTGGAAAGCGAGCCTTGACAACCAAAGCCAATCTCTCCTATCATCGTAGGTTGGAATCAACCATTGTAATTGGGTTGGAATTCGTTGCAACAAGGTCAACAATGTCACCCATATAAACATTACGAGTCATGGTTTGAGAGGTATACTTTCTAGTCTTAATTTCTTGTCCTTTATTCATCTCCTCAACCTCCAACTTTTTGACAACTCACTCTATGGGAACATCCCTTTCAGCATTAGGAGCCTTTCAGCACACATATCTTAGGTTGGCCGCCAATAATTTGTCTGGAACAATTCCACCTGAAATAGGCAACTTGACGAAATCTCAAGATCTTGTACATGTATAGAAATAAAATCAGTGGCTTCATCCCTCGAGCAATAGGATTGCACAGCTCTCTCAAGGAGCTTAGTTTGTATTCTAATAATCTCGTAGGTTCAATCCCTCATTCTATAGGAAACTTGAGTGATTTAACCCTTTCGTTCCTTCATGACAACAAACTCTTCGGATCTATCCCTCGAGAAGTTGGGATGTTGAGTTCACTTGTTATGCTTGATTTGTCTGCAAACAACCTTGTGGGTTCAATCCCTGTTTCTATAGGTAACTTGAGCAACTTAGCAATTCTATACCGTTTTCAAAATCAACTTTCTGGTGCAATCCCTTGCGAAGTTAGGTTGTTAAGGTCTCTCGAAGAGCTAGTTTTGGGGTCTAACTGTCATGACCCAAACCTACCCCTATGGGTTAAGGACATAACCGGCCAGCAATCTTGAGATTACCTACGGCCTCAGACCAAAACAGACATAACTTGTCACAGTAAAGGGGCCAAATGGAAGCAATAAATAAAAACTTTGTCCATAGAGCCGTGCTTATATGCACATCAACAGACCATATTCAGTTACGTTAATAACCCACATCAAAAGTACAGTTTCACAAAATTCATTACAGATAGGATCATCCAAAAACAAGTCAACCTATGACAGACTATTTACAGATAAACATAAAGTCCTTGCCGGCAAGACAAAATATGATTACATAGCAAAAAGGCAAGGGTAGGTCTCAAGAGTGAGAAGAGTGAGACGCAAGGCTGACTTCCTCAAAGCTCGGATTTTTCCTAGCAGACTTCACTGGGGCTGGGTTTGGACTTCCCTTGGCTCACCTACAAACACATGAATGAGCGTGAGTGATAGCCCAATGAATAATATCAAATGCAAAAATTACATAACAATGTAGAACAACATGTTCCAAATGGCCTTTGGCCCAATTGACATTTCTACTTAACATATATATATACATATACAAAATTTAGATCCAGTGCCTGTAGTTCCAACATACTGGCCTTTGGCCCATTCAGGTTTCCATTCTTGTCAAAACGGCCTTCGGTCCATTCATTTATGACAAAACGGCCTTCGGCCCATCCATCTATGTCAAAACGGCCTTCGGCCCATTCATTTCTGTCAAGATGGCCTTTAGCCCATTCATTTACGTCAAAACGGCCTTCGGCCCATTCATTCATGACAGAACGACCTTCGGTCCATTCATATAGGTCAAAACGACCTTTGGTCCATTCATTTACATCAAAACGACCTTTGGTCCATTCATTCTTATCAAAATGACCTTTGGTCCAT